CGACATTAAAAGACTAGGTTTTGGAAAGCATATTTAGAAGAGTGAGGAGTGGCATTATGTATATCTCCATGTAAACTAGATCCTTGTCCCATCTTGAGTTGGATGGCAAGCTTTTTTGTGTGAGGCTCAGGACCGTTATAGTACATTACAATCACCCATCTTCCCTTCTATTATAAGCATAAGGTGTGTGTTGTGCTAGCTAAGTAGACTAGGCTATTTGTAAGAGTTGGATTGCAAGTGTAATCTTCTTGCTCCCTCCATCTAGAAGCTTCAGGAGGTCACTAGTCCCATCTTGAACATCACCTGTACTTTCAGTTTGGAACAATTTTTTAACAGGAGATTTTGATTGGATGTTTAAACAACCGTCTTTCAAAATCTTTGTGTTTTCTTTTAAAAGGTTTTCAGTCTCTGAGTAATGCTGCATAGAAAATAATTAAAAATATAAAAGGGGAAGGGGGCTATTCATGTAGCTTCAAATCACAAATGAAAACCAAGTTAACAAAGCAAAGATTTCACAATGTATATTACTAGATCTGATTGAATTAGTTTGAATCTTTTTGGGGGTTTACAATCAATCCATTTATGACTTTTATGTAATGTGCGGGCCTTTTTTGCATAGTTGGTTGATATTCTTTCTCTATTAAATTAAATTATGATAAATATTAAGAAATTGTTCATTTTTTTGTATGTGAGCAAATTTATAAATTCATCAGGGGACCAAAGAATTATTTCTCCCACTGTATATTGTATGTAAACTTTATAACTAAAGCAAAACCATTACAGTAGTGAGAGCAGACAATAGTTGCCTCTTGATCAAGCATCAAGGATCATTATTATTGTGATTATTATTCCTCTCTAATCTCTCATGCATACTTTTTAAATATATAGTTCATTAAGAACTGGATTCCCAGACAGGGGTAAGACCAGAAGCACAGAATATCATAAAACCTGAGCCCAGCTCTAATCCCTGACTCACATCCAGGTGTACCACACTAACACGAACCAGGCAAGCTGCTGGTCATTAGAGCAGATGGAGCTTAAGCTGTTGGAGGTAAGTTGTTTGCCATCTCTTTCTTTGGTTTATTAAAGACGTCAGAGCCAGTACATAAAACTCCATCTCAATTCCCTCCATTTAAGCTCAGGTCCTCTACCACGGACAGCAAAACACCGAACCAGCTTGTCAGGAGTGCTCGCTCTGTGGTGGGTTTTTTCTCGGAGGATGTTGGCCAAATACACATACGTCTTAGGGAATCCCTCTCACACTCTGCATGACACATTAAGAGTATTCGGCAGTTCTGTTGGCTAGATTCACAGTAAATATCCCGATTAGCTTCAGTGCATCTATAATAAATATGTACTAGTTCCAGTGCTTCACTTAAACTGTATGGTACTCATGCAGACCCAGGGTCAGTGTAAAATACAATCCTACCTGTGTGAACAAAGTCTGGCTCCTTTAATCCTGCTCGTTTAATGCAGGTTGATGCAGGTTTATTGATCCTCTTTCCTGCTGTCACACCTGTCACGTCTGAGACTCAGCTATAAACGTAAAGTAACCTTTACATCATGCAAAGACTCTGTAATACTGTAAATGATCAGTAACTTAGGTTAACAATAAACATTAAACCGTACCTCTCTGTCTGTGTGTGCTGCACATTTATAATCAGGATTGCAGTCAGGCTGCACTGAGTGTGGGACTGTTGAAAACAGATTGAAGATGCAAATTTAGCATTATGGCTGATGGTGGTGTAAAACCTCTTCTTACCTTCTACACTGTGTTTTTGCTACTAATTTATGTTTGTTGTTGTTTAACACAGATTTCAGAGGAGCACAGAGAAGCACTGTTGCTTCATCTTTTATGCTTTAAAGCAGAACTGGATGGAAATCAAAGGTCCTTAAAAGCTTTTTCTGCTCCTGACCCTCAAAGCCAAATTTCACCCCTGAGAGCTCATAGGTTACGATTGTTTTAACAGTAACATTATCAGAAACATAGGTGAGCAACAATACTTAATATCTGCTTTTAATGTAATCATTTATATAGCGATCTTGTATTTGTTAAACATTTTGCAGGATGTATCTGGCAGTTTTTTCATCTACAGAAGTTTCATTTGTCACTGTGGGACTGCTGAGTGACCTGAAGAACTCATTTCATTCATTTACAAAAATGTTTCAGAGAATCTTTGAAAAATGGCAGACCTCAGGTCAGATTTAATTGATAGAGATATATGCATGCATTGTGAAATTTATGTATCCCAGATAATTGTTTTTCATCTTGTCATGGGAGACCCACCCCTTTCTCTGGAGTTAACTGCAGCCCAAGATAACTAGTGGGGGTATTTACACACTCATGGCCAGTGGAGTAAAATGAGCAACCAAAAAACTGGCAGCCTGCACAGCCACAGATGTGCTAGAAGCTAGAAGAGCTAGAAGTGCTACTCATGGAGAAACTCTTGGAGAAACTTGCTAAACCTATCAGGGGACAGGTACTCCAGCCCCAAAACATGATATAACCCCACATAAAGCCCAGCCACAAAGTGAACCAAGTCATGAATGGATGGATAGAAGTTAAATGACTACAAACATAAAAACATAAAAGGCACTAGTTCTCACACTGGAGTTCCCTGACATTGGGTTGACTATACTGAGCTTGTATTAACAGTTATAACGGACTACGCTGAGACATTGCTTTGAATTATTGTGTGTATGTATGTACGTATACATACGTACAGTACGTATGTATACGTACGTACGTACATATGTGTATATATACATACATATATATGTATGTATATATACATACGTACATACATATGTACGTATGTATGTATACATACGTACAGTACGTATATATACGTACAGTACGTACGTATGTATGTATACGTACGTATGTATACGTACGTATGTATACGTATGTATGTATATATATGCCTCAGATCCACTAGCCCTTAGATCCACTAGCTATGTATGTATGTATGTATGTACAATATTCAAGCAATGTCTTTACCCTGTGCAGTGTGTGGACGCTGTGCACGCAATCACCTCATTCACTGTAGTAAATATGCACCGCTACATAACATGATTGACTCTGTCTCCATGGTTACATCATATCGTACATTATTAGCAATGTAAACAGCTTCCAAAGATACTGCCATAGCTCTCTGCAGCTTAACACTTTCACTGTTTGCAAATCATGTCATATTTTGATAGTTATGAAAAAAGCATATGTTTATAGGTCATGCCAGGTGGTTGCTTTGGTGGTTGCTGTGGACTAGGGTGGACGGTGCGTTCGATTCCTGTTTCAAAGTGGCGACAGTCTGCTGTAACTCGAATTCAAACTCCACTTTGGTCTTTAAGAAAAGGCCTTTCATAGCTGTTTATGACACACACACACACACACAAAGCACTTTGCCTAACCATGACAGGATGCAACTTTACCTTTGAAGTGTCTGATAGAAAATAGAAAAATGAAGCAACCAGAGGTTTAATGATGAAGACTCTGGGGGTCTGTAGTTTACGTTTTACAATCCTGAATGACTCTTTGCACATTCATATAATTCATTTACCGGTAGACTGTTACTGTTTAATTTTTTTTTTACCTTGTTATGTCATGAATAAGGTTTACCTGCTGAAGGTTTGATTGATCAGTTGGACAATACAGTCAAAGACAGAGTTTCAATTTGCTAGAATCCTAGTTGGATTTTTGTTTTCATTCATATTTCTGAACCAAATATTGAATACGACTCTGACAGACTGGATACCTGCCCACAGTGTACACTACCTTTTATTCAAGGATCCCAGGACAGAGCCCTGTAGCTCGGATCACAGTTTCAATTATAAAAGAAAAGGAAACAGGCAAAAAGCAAAATAGAAAAAAATAACATTGTGAGGTCATTTCTTATAAACTGACAACCCCCCCCATTCCAAAAGAAAAACAAAGAAACAACTTGTCGTTCTCTCACAGCAAAGGATCAGGCTCACAGCTTGGGCCAATAATGTATGTTAGATAAGGTGAGATGAGATGAGATAAGACTTTATTGATCCCACAATGGGGAAATTTTTGTGTCACCTCAGCTCACAGATATCAGAAGGAAATACAAAAATACAAATAAAGTACAATCAATGAAAAAAGGTAAGATAATACACTATATACAGTGGTAGCATACACAGTATGTGATTATGGATATGGTTGGAAATATGGAAGACATAAACTATATAGCTTGATATAGCTATTGTACCACTACTATTCCTATTTATAGACATGTACACACACACGTACACACTAAATATACATATGTATACATATACATACATATATACCTGTACATGTCCATACACATGGAAGGTCTATTATGCATGAAGTGGTGACCGTGGATGTTCACAGTGTCCAGTGACTTATGACATCGTGATTGAGGAGATTGTCAGTTGCTCAGTATGCTAAGGTCACCATGTCTATTTGGGTATAATTAATATCCAAAAAGCACTAAAAGTTATACCAGAATTTGACTAACAGAATTATTAACTGCATGTTTTTCTTCCAATTTTCTCACATAATTTGAAAAATTAGACTTTGTAAATAAGTGAAAATTTCATATTGTTGCAGTCCTAATAGCTCCTGCTTTGAAACATTGAACTTTAAAATTTACCTCATGAAAGATAATCATTCACAGTGGCACACTGTCAGTATAATTCTGACTTTAATATCACTGTTTTAATCTGAATCTTTCTCAAATATGCTGTGAATAAATACTGTTGCAACTCACTGTGGGAAAGCTGTGTTATTAAAATGAATCTGTCACATGTGAGGACGAGGACACAAACGGAGGACACGCAGATGCTGTCACGGTCGGACGGTCCTCCCTGGACGACCTGCTTTTTGTGTGGTTTGTGTGGTTTTTTTTCTCTCCGCTTTCTCTTCGTCCTCCGCTGGCGGCTATATTTTGAAAGTCCACACTTCCGGGAGACTGAGCGCGTAATGGCCTCTGACCCGGAAGCACCTCCGCTCGGCAGCCGACACACCTGTGCCTAATCGTCCGTCCAGTTGACGCTAATTATCCTACAGTTGAAGCTGAGGTATTTAAGGGTGTGTCCAGACGGCAGTCGACGCTGGATTGTACTCTAAGCCTGGTAGTACTGGATGCTCTGTGTTAAGGGCATTTAGCTGACTAGGGAGCTTTCTCACCTGTGTTTGTCGCTCGCTTTTCCTAGGAGCTGGAGGACGGAGTGGATGGTCGGGAGAAGAGAAGCTCAGTTTGGATAATCACTTTGGAAACCGAACTGCACGGTCACCGGGAGTAAGGAGGAGAACGCTAACGGGGACTTTGTGCACTACTGTTTTTTCATATTGGAACTGTCATTTGTGAGCAATGTAAATAAACCGCACTGTCTGCATTCTGCGCCTGGGCCCTTTTCTCCCACACGCCCCGACAGATTCAAAGTCAAAAATCCAAACCTTTAGTCAAAAACAGGCAGTGGTTACGAACAGAAGCAGCCCATCAACAGTCTTCAGGGCTTAATTATTATTATTATTATTATTATTATTGTCAAAGTTGGATGTTAATTTTGTCCTTTAAAAATGTTCCTGTACTATAATTTAAGGCTAAAATGGCTCAGACAGTCTCATTCTTAGAGTATCTCCTCTGAAAGTGGAGACGGGTTCATCCACTGATCCAAATCACTTTACCTGGATGTTTTCTTTGCAGCTGGATGATGACTCCTCTCTCCCTGACTCCAGTTCCAGCTTTGCAGACCAGTTGGCCTCTGAGGTCACAGTGATGATCTGTAGCAGGAAATGTGAAATTTAAATCAGTTTCTTCCCTTTTTTTTTTCCATGTTTAGAAAAAAATACTCCTAAAATAACCAAGCAAGTAAATATTAATAAAGACTTACACACTTCATGAGACGACAGTGAACACATCTCCCTTTATTCCGTTTCTCCATTCCTGCTCAGAACATCAGGTAACAAATATCACAGTAAATCACAGTAAAATATAAAGCACATACTATGTACAACATGTGCCTGTATAAAGAACATTGAATTTTAAACCATCCGTTACTGTTTCTTCTTTAGCTTGGATGGTTCATCTGCTGCCTCTGATAAGATATCAGATCAGAACGATAATTTTCTGTACTCTGCAGTCTATTTACACCTACAGGCCAGTGGACATTCTTTCAGTGATAAGGATGTACACATCCTGGACAGGGAGGAACACTGGTTTGAGCGGGGAGTGAAGGAGGCTATTTACGTGAAAAGGGAAAAACTTTCTCTGAATCGAGGAGGGGGGCTAAGGGTACATCTTTCACCATCTTACAATGCTGTGATTGCAGCCATTCCTCAACTCATGGTACTCATGGCCATTGATCAGTGGTCTTTGATTAGTGGTTGTTGATCAATGGTCACGACAATATGCAAGAAACCAACCTCCTATTGTTCGCCAGTGGTGCTAGTTTTAGTCATTGTGCAAATGTACTCTTTAAGTGGTTGGGGAAACCTGCAGTCACTCATCACTTGGATGAGCGACGAGCAGAATCAACGTTTTGGGACTTGTTTGATTTCTTACCACTTCACTGAAAAACAGGTTCAAAGAGTTGAACTAGAAGGCTATGCCTTCCAAATGTTGCAAAACCATCTTATTTATATGTTCTAGCTACCACACTAAGTGACAATACATAAAATATGACCAGTTATTTTAGAAATGTGTACATAAACGAAATAATGTGGTTTCTTGTCAAAAAATGTTTTAGTGTTGTAAATCTGATTTTACCTTTAGAGCATTGTATTAGGGGTTTTATTTCCCTGGAAGGATAAAAAGACTAAGCTTACAATAAATGTATTTATTTTTGTTAAAATAAGTTAAGTGCCTGGCTGGCTGGCTCGTGACCTGGCCCCGGATAAATGGAAGAAGATGGATGGATAAAATAAGATAAATTAGGATTGCACCACCTCCACTGGTTTAAAATAAGAACAACCCTAAATTGCCATCATCGTAAAATGTATTTGCCATTAAGTAAGTATTTGGCTTACAGGGGAACTGTGTACGCATTCATCAGTCTAGCCACTCAAAAACAGTAAAAAAGTAACTCCTGGCAATGTTTCTATAAGGTGTTTTTGTGTAATGCTAACTTAACCTTGAGCTATATTCATGTAATACAATTCTATTAGTGCACAAGAAGCATGTGCCCTACTTCTGCAATGCTTTGCCTGCATGTGAGCTTGCGTTACACATCATGTATGTAGGTGCACTCCAGGTAGTAAGCCAGTTGTATTTACCTGCTTAATTTCATGGATGACAGCAATGATCTGTGTGCTGCATAACTGAGGCAAACAAAGAAGAAAGAGTTTTTGTTGTTGTTTTAATAAAGGATGCTCAGGACGGCAGTAAAGAAAGCATCAGAATAACAAGATGAAATAACACTTGTACATGTAAGAAAGTGTGCATATGTATTCAAAAGGTAGCAAATCAATACTTCCTCTTTGTTTTTCACAAGAATAAAATAGCTCTGTTTTCTTTTTCTATGTAAAGTTGCATTACATTTTCTGAAATTTCACCTTCACTCCATCCTAATACACTCAAATAAAATCAGATGTCATTAGTTAGCTCAGTAAATTAAACAGCAACCACTATTGTGTCACCTGTTGAGGATCCACCCTCACAGATGTGTGACAAAAAATGAGAATTGGCAACTGTAATTTCATAGACCAACCATGTAACAAGTTGGCAACACATACTGTATGTGTAAGTTGGCTGGATAAGGTCAATAAAAATATTTTACTACATTATCATTTAACATATTCTCAGACCTAAATGTATCATGACTGAGGACATGTATTGGGTCTGTAAGGTAGGGGGTGCCAGACTAAGCAGCTAAGGAGATAGACCGCGTTGTCTACTAATGACAAAATTGGTGGTTGGATCCCTGGATCCTCCAGTCTGCATGTTGAAATATCCTTGGCAAGACACTGAACCCCTAGGTGCCCGTGACTCATCCATCAGAGCGAGTGCGTGTGCATTAATGTAAAATGAAGTGCTTAAAAGCATAGAGTAAGAGTGCTGTGTGAAAGGCTGCATGAGGCTTGTAGTCAAAGTTGCTTGACTAGAATAGACTTCTTCGTCTGACTGCATGTGGTGTCTATGAACCTTACTATTTATCTGGTTTCACACATAATATTTAAACAAATTCATGAAAAAATAGCAATTTGAGTTTAAGTAATTAATTATTGATGTTTATGAGTTAAAGTGACAGACTAGTGACCTGTTGCAGGTCTGCCCTGCTACTTGTCACAGATCAATTAGACCTCAAATTGGGTCTTCTTTCTCCGCAGCCAATTAGCACCAGTCCCACCCACACAGTGTCTTACTGTGATTTCACCACAGTACTGCCAGCTAACCCGTTTATCCTGTACAAAACTACAGAGCATTTTCATGCAACATTTCAATAACACAAAATTAGTATACTTTGTTTTGCAGGAAACGCCACAATATGAAAATATATAATTCATTTAAAGACTGTTTACAGATGTAATTCAAAATGGTAAATAGACTTCTTCAGCACCTGAGCACTCAGAGTGCTTGATACAAATTACCTTGTTCACCCATTGATGCAAGCACTTTTTCTAAGCTTTCTATCTTGAGTAGTATCTTGCCCAAGGATATTTGGCATGCACATGAGTAGATAACCAGATGACCTGCTCTACCTCCTGAGTTACAGCCACCCCTTAATAATGACTTTACATGTAATCTTTAAATCTACAGTTTATCAAGTGTCACTGAGCAGTCCTTACTATTAAATATATCTTTTAAATATATCTCTTTTTCCTCTCCTGTCTCGCTTACGTCTTTGTGGATCTCCCTGGGAAATACAGCAGGTGAATCTTTAGCTAGCAACACACAGTGCAACAGACTGTACACAAACAGTTTGTATGTTCCCTGATATTTACTGAGTTATTAAACCTAAAGTAACAGGTCTGTTTCGAAAATGTTCAAGTTTCAGTGCCATACACCACCAAGTAAGGCAGAACGTTGAAGCCACCTGAAAGACTTGCTGTGTTGCTTGTGGATATCAGGGCTCTGGTCTGTGTTTCTTTTGAAGAAGGGAGGGTGTAATATATTGCTGGGAGTGCTAATTTCCAGCTTGCTGTGACTGCTCCTTGGCCAGCAGACGGCAGGCGAGCGCTGCAGTTGAGTAGTGACTAAAATGGCAATAATCAATTAAAAAGAATAACCATCACCTCTCGACCCCCTGGCTGTTTTTGGCAGCAGTTATAGTAAAATACACCTTTCACTTTGCTGCTGCTATCAATCTGATCACTATGCCTGCACTCCTTTGGTTTCTATCATTGTGTGGATGCTTTAAGCATCCACACTATTGAGTTCCTCTTGGGACTTCCGTACACTTTTTGGCACTTAACTACTTCCACAATTTTCAGCCGATTTTCACCGTTCAAATTTTAAACTATTCTGTTAATTCTGCTAATGTGTGCTATGTCTTTTGTAGAGATGGACCGATCCGATATTACGTATCGGTATCGGTCCGATACTGACCTAAATTACTGGATCGGATATCGGAGAAAAATAAAAAATGTAATCCGATCCATTAAATATCACGAAAGCACCTCACAAAACTTGCAACACGGCGTAACTCACCTCAGAACGTTAGCACGTCGGAGCAGTATGCATCACGTGATAGAGAGGCTGTGGCATGCGGGACCTGTCGGTGGTCTGGATAGCATTTGGAGCTTCGCTAGCAACCCGGCATTTCATCTCCGACAAAGTTATCCCGAGAGAAGTACAGCAAGTGTGTAAGTCCATCTCTGAATGTTTGTAAAGCATTCCTGCGTTAAGCTTAACAAGCGACTGCCTCTCCTGCTGCTACTTCAATCATGAAACTGCTTAACGATCAGCTGATCGGCTTTTCTGTCGCGAGTCCGTGTCTCTTGTTTGCTTTTGGCCCACTTTGCACCAGAAAGAGGAAACCAGGGGCTGAACAACAGCAGCACGTTTAAGCTTGATCAGCTGTTGTTAGAATGTATTTAATATTACTTTCTACACCAGGATCTTTTTCTACGTAGCTGACGCTGGTAACTGTGCAGGGGCGGATCTAGCAAAGTTTAGCCAGGGGGGCCGATAGGGCATTAACAGGGAAAAGGGGGCACAAAGACATACTTTTCTTTCTTATTCTCATTTAAAATGTCTAGCTTTTAATAAATAATTATCTGACACCCAAAGTTTTAATTTGATGTAAAATGAATAGAAGTCAATTACTGTATATAGTAACTATTAAGTCTAATATATATACCCTAGTAAGCTATAGTACTTTTTCCTTTGGGAAGGTACCATCTGTGCAGTCTGCAATTTTGTTGAAGAAAGATGTTGAATCTATTTAATATTTCT